CAAACCGTCTCAGCTCAGAATCGTTTTTCTTATACTGATATTATATCATTGAATTCAAGTTTAATACAATCCATTATACATTGACCCACTTGTAACCTACTATATAGCAGAGCGACATCCACTTACCCGCTTTTTTTTTGAACTTTAAATGCTTATAAAAAAAAACTGTGACTAACGATTTTTAATATATTTCATCTGCCTTTGAAACAATATACTAGGAGCCTTCTATTAAATTTTCAAGTTATTTTAACCAACAAATAAAATTTTATTGATATTTCTAGAAAAAAAACCATGTGTTACCAGTACGCGCGCGAGAAGTTCAACTTCTTTTGAATGGTACACGTGAGTGAGTGAAAAAGAAAGAAAAAAATATTAATTAATTTAAAAAATGAGAAGAAGTATCCAGAATTATTTATTATTGATAGTTTTATTATTTTTTTTATATTTTTATTCGACAGATCGATGGATAATTGTTTGTAGTACCTATTGTTTTTATCCAGACAATATATTTGTGAGTGAATACTAATAATAATAATAAAAATAAATAATAATCGATCATTAATTATTCATATTAATTAGTATGGCCCGATTATAATATATAATACTAGCTGATCCCGTGCACTTCGTCGCCCTTTAAATGTATCAACTCAATATGAGTTATGACTCAAACTTTGTTCAATTCGTTATTCAATATTCGGTGTATGGTGTTCAACATTTATCTTATCTTTTCCGTTGCCCGGAATACAAATTCTGAATCGCAGCAGTACATTATCAGGTAGGCGGACCCCGTGCTGTTTGTACGGAAGTGTATGATTTAACTCTTAATTATCAAAGTTATACCAAGTTTATTTTGATATAATACGGTGGATTAATATAACAAATTTGGTTGCTCGTAAAAAATCACAACTCTTAAAAAAATTATGATTGTTGAACTCCTTTTGGGTGTAACTTGCTGGGGTAAGTGCAACTCAGCCACCCTGGTAGGCAATGTTCAATAATTTGATTTGATGCAAGCTTGTACCTGATCTGCCCGAATAACCAATGGCAACCAATAAATAAATGCTAATTTCTAATGTAGACTGTAACCAATGGCAACTATTAATAAATAAAAATAAAATTTCCAATTTCCATCTTGAATCTCAATGTCCCTGTTTGAGCACCTATTTAAAATGCGAATTTCGAAAAATCCTTTCTTAGCGCCCGTCTACATCATAATAGCTATCTGTATGCCAAATTTCAGCCAGATCCGTCCAATGGTTTGAGCTGTGCGTTGATAGCAGTCAATCAGCTTACTGTTTTATATATACAGATATATATATTATAATATAGGTATAATAAAACAACATTACCATGACAATATTTATTTATTTACGGACATGTACGCTTTCGCGTTCGTACGGCCGCCCGTCCGCTTTTTTTTTTTCCTCACTACCGTGCGTAAAGAAGTATAACTTCAAAACTAAAAAAAAATGAAAAATGAAAATGTCCCTAAACAGTTCAAAATAAATCAAAATATTTTGAAAATGTTATCGTGTATAGAAAATGCAAATATAAACAACCAGTGAAAATTTCATGTATCTACGGTCATTTGTTATAAAGTTACACTAAAAACCAAATTCAATTTTCTGAAAAATCGATTTTGCGTAAAAATTCCAGTTTTTCCTTCATTTTTCTTTTGTTTTTCTTGGCGGTTTTGAAAAGTACTGGGAATTTTAAATTTTGACCTCGCAATGCACCAACGATATTCACTTTCCAATCGAACAAGATACTGAAGTCGAAAATCGAAGCATTATTTCTAGTACTTATCATGTACACTGACACAAAAAAAAAAAAGAAAAAAAGAAAACTATAAATTATATTATACTTGTTGAACTAATATTAATTTTTTTCATGGTTAAATAATAGGAAATTGTTGCTCGTTACACTTTTATTATATTAATATAGGTAATATGAATATAATTTCTTTTTTAAATATAAATGTGGTGATAAATAATATAGGTCACATACTAAATCTATTGATTGATTTTATGCATCTGATAAACTGTAATTCATTGGATTGTGTAATACTTATAATATAGTAGTTTGTATAGTAGGTAATTTTAAACTAACAGTTACTAATAGAAATAATTTTTTAATAAATTTATGTTACAATTTGTTATCATTATATTTTACAACTATACATTTTAAATTAGTTATTTTTCTCAGTCAATGTACCCGATCTCTAAAAATTACAGAATGATAAATAAAGATTTTAGAGTATTATTATTATCATTACGAGTAGATTACCTATAATTATTATATTACTATATTAGGTATACGTTAGGTATACCTACTACAAACATATTATTAATTTAAATAAATATTTGTTATTACTTATTATTATATTTTAATATAACATTAACAGTTGAACTTAAAAAATAATACACGGTAAATTAATATTAATTTAATTGCGCTGTGTTTTTTTTTTTTACCATTTATTAGATTTTACTTTAAGTATTATATTTAAATAAGTAATAATTCAATAACTTCAAATCAAGCTATGTTATAATACAGTTTCTACGATCTATATGTTGGGACATAAATTTAAGTAAACAGTATCTTAATTTATAATCTGTAGTTCGTAGGTACGCGCAGGGCCTAAATTTAAGGTATTTTGCTACTGCACACCTAATTCCACACTAACATATAAGTCCTTGATACCTATAAGGCTATAAGACTAAAACGTAATAGCTTGAGTTAATATACTTATTAGGTATATTATAAGTCGCCCAGAATATGGTTTAGTCGGTATTATTTTTAGTGTTAAGGATTTTAAACGAATACAATATGCTAAATAGTAATTTTCAATAATCAATATAAAAAGCCCGTTAACGTTAATCTTATAATAAACAAAAAATAAAAAATAAAAAATATTAAATATTAATCAAATAAAAATTTAAAAAAGTTGAAAATAAGTACTGCACACTTTAAAATTTGCTACTGCACATAGTGTGTGCTACTGCACACAATTTTAGGCTCTGGGTACGCGAGGGTATTGAAAATATTACCGCGGCATTTGCGTATAATGAATTATATAATAATACGAATGGCACTGGACGAACGTTCATAGACAAATAAACGGCACTCCCGAAGTCCCGAACCAGCACTCGTCGCCGCCGTCGGCCGGTTGCGAATAGTAGGCGTGACTTAAACGCCGCGCGCTTGCGGATCGTGAAAACACCTAACAGCGCATCCTCTCGGTCGTTGCATGAGTACAGCTTTGGGTGACACGTCCTCTTAAATTTAAAAAAAATTATTGTATTACATTTTATTACAAATCTTACTTTTATAATTTTATATTACTTCATTTTGCCAAGAAAGTTCTCCAATTGGAGGGTTAAAAAAATCTTTAAACATTTCTCTAACTTGGAATGCTTGCTGATTTGCATTTCCGCCTTGCATTGTTAAGTTTTGAAGAGTTGACGGATCTTCTAGATTGGTACAATCTCCTCTATTATATGTCTGTTTGCCATCATGTATTTTAATAAAGTTGTGTAAAATACAAGTCGCTAAAATTATATTATCTGCATTTTCTGATTTGGCTTGAATTCTCCGATTGTATATTCTAAATTTTTGGGATAAAATGCCAAATGCATTTTCTACAACTCTCCTTCCCCTACAGTGACGATAATTATATATCCGTTTTGAATCATCATCAAGTTGTTTTCCTGGGTAGGGTCTCATCAAGTACTCTTTTAGAGGGAATGCCTCGTCTCCTAATATGACAAATGGTGCAATATTTGTCGTTCCTGGAAGTGCAGAACATGGTGGCACATTTAGTTGTTTTCTATCTAATCCTTTTCCTAACTTTGAGTGCATAAAAATCCCACCGTCACTATTCCTGCCGTAAGCACCAACATCGACTACAATGAAATTGTAATGGGCATCTACAAGGGCCATAAGTACCACGGAAAACGGTTTTTTATAATTAAAATATTGAGACCCACTACTCGGTGGAGCCTGAATTACAACGTGTTTGCCATCAAGTGACCCAATACAATTTGAAAAATTCCAACACCTTCAAAACTGGTCTGATATCTCTCTACGCTTGTTTTCTGTAGGTAGTGGCATTACTTCTGACATTAATTTTTCGACTAATACTTTACAAGTATCCGTCACTATTTCATACACCGTGGAATGTCCTAAACGATAACTAAATGATATCGTTTTGAATGAATCTCCTGTTGCCAAAAATCTGAAATTTTTCTTTTTATAATTTGTGTTTTTGTTTTTATTTGATTATTTTTTACTAAGTTTAAATTTAAAATGTGTTTTATTTACAATAGAATATATAATATATATATAGTATATTAGGTTATTTGTGGATTAATACATAAGTAATAATTTTAGATTCTGAACGGAGTGATGAATGTATTGATTTTACAATGATGTGTTTTTTTTTTAATTTTTTTTTTCTTGTGCCTGAGGACAAAATTTGTAACAGTAATAGTGCTTCAATATTAAAAAAAAACCTTATAGACTAATCTATGAAAAATCTTCTATTAAATTTTTAAGTATTTTGTCTCGGCCAAACAATTGTAATCGAAAAATTAACGAAATATTTTGAAAAAAAATCATGAGAGGAAAATGAAACTTTAAACAACTGATGGAAGTTTCAAATTTCTACGGCTTATATTTTTAGAATAAAAATAAATATCAAAAATCGTTTTGCGTAAAAATAACCGTTTTTCTCCAATTTTTTTTTTTGTTTTTCGCGGAGCGTTTGAAAAATATAATTTTCATTTTTGACTCCCCAAAGTACAATATACATTCACTTTGCTCTCCGAAACCACCCCTAATTTGTAAAATTTAAGCACTATTACTGCTCTAAATTTTGTCCCCAGACACAAAAATAAAAAATAAAAATAAAAATTACAAAAAATAAATAAAATAAAAAAAATAAAATTTTAGGTCCTGTGTGTAAAGCTAGGTGGTCAAATATAAGAGACCAGTATAGAAAAATGTTAAATAAACAAAAGACTAAAAGTGGTCAAGCATCAACAAAAAAAATCAGTTATAAGTATGAAAAGCAACTTAGCTTTTTAAAACAATATTTTCAAGAACGACCAACAATTTCAAACATCGAAAGTCGCAGTGATTCTGAACAAGACGAAGAATATGATGTACCGGATGACTTTGGCCTCAGCAGCTCTGAAAAACATAATATTGTAAATGATAATGAAGATAACGTAACTGCGCAGCCTTTTACACCGATAGAACCACAACTGGGTATTAAACGTGGATCTCGTATTGGCGTGAGTGCAGGTATCAGTAAAAAAAAGGTTCAAGAAACAGCCTCTTCGACGTTAATGAAATATATTTTAGCAAACAAAGAACGTGCAGAAAACAATAGTAAAGAAAAAGACGATATTGATGCATTTTTAACGGGAATTGCAGCTACGATGAGGAAATTTGATCCATACCATATAAATCTAGCTAAAACTAAGATTTTCACTGCAGTTCAAGATATTGATATGCAGCAGATAATCAATAATCAACGTCAACAATCATGCATTCCACTTTCACAGAATAATAGCGTATGGACTTCATCACACATACCTGAACCGGCTAAACATGAAGTACAAAATCTTCAAAGTTATCAAGTTATACAACAATCCATAACTAATCTGACTTCACACGAGAGCAACGATGAACAACCACACTACCAAAATATGGGTTGATTTTAATTTGCTTAAAGTATACCTACCTAATTATTTATTATTTTTTATTGTGCTTCAACATTTGTTTAATAATATTGCATTTTATAAACAATTTCTTTTATTAGTTATTACCAGTTAGTTATACCAGTTGTTTATTTCCTAATTTTATCTTATTGAAATAAAAAGTATTATTAAAAATGTTCTATGTTGTTCTTTTTATTTTGAATATTATTATTATTTTAGATAATATGTATTATCACTTATTAGTTCTAAGACAGAAAAATATTAATCAATATAATGGGTTTATTTTTTTCTATTTACTGTGAAAAATTGTTAAATACTTTTTTTTTGTTTAAAAAAATTTTTTTTATATTAGTAGGTATTTATTATTAATATTATACAGTATACAATATAGTTATTTATTAAAATACAGTAAAATAATACTCTATCGTTCATTGAATATTAATTTCTTACCTTAAACAAACAGCTAAACGGTGCCTAGGTGGTATACATTTTCTGAAATTCGTATCTTGTTTTTTTATATACTTTTCGATTTTGTTGAATAAGACATCGAAGCTGTACATTGACATTCTGAAGTATTCGTGGAATTTAGTTTCGTCATCTATAAGTTCCTTGTATAACGTTTGGAACTCTCCTTCAGTATCACGCTTCTTCCAAGCAGAGTGAACCCAGTACTTACGAGGCTCTTGGGCTACATGTTCATCCTCATCAAGCAATAATGCCATAATAGCCAGTTCTTTATTAGAAAAATCCATTTTGCTAATAATCAAAATTAAAATTATTTTATTTGTATTGCCAACTACCCAACTACGTAATTTATAAGTAATTCAATTATTTATGAACTTACTTTAAATGTATGTAGGTAGGTACACTTTATAGTTGGTATTCAATTATTTTGATACAAAACATATAATTTACAAATATATACTATAATATGTACTATACTATAATTTTTAATTGATAAATTATGCAAATAAATATTATTACACTAAAATATAATATATGACCATGTGGTTACAAATCTTGATCACAACTGACAAGAGTTCAAGACCCGGGTTGCTGGTTACCCGGACTTGCAGCTGAAAGTCTGAAACACGGCCCGGCCCGGAGCAATGGGAATATACCTCACGGACGTGCTGAAAAATAGTGGTGTTATTTATAAAGAACTGTGATGTTTTATTTTGAATAAATAATTTAGTTAATTTTTTTAAGCTATCAATTTCATAAGATCTTATATTTTTTTCCGTTTGAATACAAATATTTATGACATCAGCACTAGGATAAGTCAATCCACCATTGTCTTTTAAATCTATTAAAGATTTAAGAAAATTATTTTTATCACCATGAAGAGCTGAAATACATACATCACATTTAATTTTACTGCTTAATTTATGAACGACAAAACCACTTAAGTAAATTACAATTTCACGAGTAAACATTGACAGAGAGTTATCAAAAATGTAATCATGATCTTTTAAAAAATAACTTTCAGGTTCAGGAGTTATGTCTGAAAAATAATTTATATTTGTTTCATTGATAATATTTTCAGGTTCTTTTTGACAAACACTAGAACTAATTAGAATATCTACATCCTCCAAAGGTATACAATTACCAACACCTCCTTGTCTTATCTCGGCATGAATCAAAAATTTAAGATAAGCAGCTTTGAACTGACGAGCAGTTGGATTGTTGTTATGTCCTTGGTGAGATCTAATGGCTCCGAAAAACAGTTCAATATGGTCCTGACTTATTTCATAGCACGGTATGAATTTTAAACAACTAGTGGCAATTAGTTCATTATGCAAAGAAAATAATGATTCAAAGCAAATCATAAACCCCAAGAATCCAGTTTTTCTATTTGAACTTAACACTGAGGTCCAACAGGGAAATTTTAAATTTAAAACATACTCATAAAATTGTGTTTTAAAAATGTTAAAGTCTTCCAAGTTTTGTGAGCACAAAGCTTTTTTTTTACCATAACTATTTAGGTTTCTAGAATTCAATATGTCAAATGCATCATTGAATATTCGAATAAACTTAATTGTTGGTTCACATGATTGGAAATCGTCCAGACATAAAACATTTTTACAGAACTCTAATGCATCTGCTACAGATTTGCTCAATAATTGTGTAGCTAGTTTGACCTTCATTTTTTGTTTAAAAAACGAAATATGTTGTTTTTTTAATCTATTTGCTAAATGCAAGCCTTCAGATTCTTGTAGTATTAACAATTTTTCAAGATAATCAAATTTAATAATGTTATTATCACCATCTATAATAATTTTTTTTTCACCAAAAGTATTTCTGACCAACTTAACCATATGTGCAGGGTCAGGAAATATCGCAATATTTTGTGTTAATGAATCAGTTTTATTTAAATTAAAATTATTTAAATTCAAAATTAGTTTTAAATGAAGTTGGGTCTAAATCACAACCTAAAAGTTTTGACATGTTAATATTTGATGCACATCCATCAAAAGTTAAGCTAACCACTTTTATGCCAGTTTTGTTTATAAGATTTAAACATTGTTGAATTAGTTCCGATTTCTGTGAACTGTTGAAGTGATTGCATAAAAAGTATCCCACCGGTATTTCCCATGATTCATTAATTGCAACTAGCATGAAAACAAAACACTCAGTAGCAATATCAGACTTATCATTATTAAAGCCAGCACCAAAATTCACATATCCATGATATTTTTTGCCATCCCATTCAACATGATGTCTGATTGAAATTTCATCAATGTTTAAACCACAATAAATAGTATGATCAGAGTTTTTCGCTCTGGGGGTCAACATTTTTATTGTTTCTTCAGTAAATCCTGGTTCAGCTTTTGTGTGGGAATACCATTTAGTCAAAGTTCTTGGATGAGGAATTATTGTATTAAACTCTTTTCTTACAAAGTTATATGCCTTAGCAGAATGAAAGTGTAGAGCAGGGGTCTCCAAACTTTTTTATTCAAGGGCCACAAAAAAATCAAATGCTCTTAGCGGGCCAAAAGTTTATTAAAACATATAATTTTTAACTTTATGATAATATAGGTACCTATATAAATAATATATTTACTTTATATTTTTGTATAGAATATTGTTTACTTTACAATATACTTAAATAAAAATAAATAGGTATAAATATAATATAATATAAATACATTTTTGAAATAATTTTTTTATCTTTATTTACCTATGCGTCCTATGCGGGCCACGGGCCGGTTAAAACTTGTTCGCGGGCCGCATCCGGCCCGCGGGCCGTAGTTTGGAGACCCCTGGTGTAGAGTGATAGCAAATTTTTGTAGCTCTGGACTATATTTTTTAGGGATTTTCTGGCCTTTACCCTTTTTAACAAATCGTTTAATTAAATCATTATGCTTACCAAATTGTTCAGTGAAGAGTTCTAGTTCATCATCGTTAAGTAAATTATTTTGTTTCAAAGAACTGATGACCATTTTCATTGAAGCAATTTTCTTTGCTTGTCGTTCAACTTTTTGCCTTAGATACTTTAATTTTTTTGATTTTACAACATCATTGACAATCAATTTTGAAACCGTACGTTTTAGCAAAGATCTTTTTGGTGTGTCATCTTGGTGTGGTTCCCAAATTGCATTACTAACACTTTTGTCAGAGCCCTTAAAAATATATAAATATAAGTATTGAATAACTAATTATTTTAAAATAATTTATAATAATTAAGTAAAAATAAATTGCATCTATGAGTACATAACGTACAAATGACAATCCTATCCAAATATCACATTTTAAACAAAGTTCTCAAATCTTAAACATTATGTCAGAATATAAAAATTTTATGATTACATTTTGTGGTGTTGAAATGAATTCAACAGATACACCGGGACTTGCAGTAATTGGATCACAATTGTTGATTGGGTCTTCACTAGATAAAACCTAAAAAAAAATAATAATATGATAAAAACAAATTCACTTACAAGTTAAGGTTCCGATATTGGATACTACTTGAACACTAATGTCATCTTGAGTATCATTGGTAAAACTATTGTTCAAATCCATTGCCACCGGAACTGCTTTTTCAGGATACAGAACTTTTGCCTTTTTTAATTAAACATATGATAAGTAATTCAAATAATTATTGTAATGCATCAAAATTATTATTATTTTTATTTAGAACTAAAAAATAATTTTCAATCATCAAGATTTATATTTTGTTTTGAATAACAAGATATGTTGTAAGATTGATTTAAAACTTACACATTTTATTCTTTGAACCATGATTGATGGTACAGAATCCGGTTTCAATAATGTAGTACGGACATATTTTTCAAAACAATTTTTATTAAAATGTTCAGAACAAAACAGACTATGCAGTAGTTTTAGCATGCTGGCATGGATACCATATTCAAATGCAAATGTAATCCATTCAGCTTGAATAGGGCTTGATGGTAGTCTTGATAAAATAGTAAAATATGTATATTAAAATATAATTAAATAAATAATAATAGTACAATAATTTTACCTGTGAAATGTAATGCCATCAGATTTGCTTTTGGAATTACGCGATCTTCCACATAAAATTTAACAAATATAAATTTGTAAGGAAGTTACAAAAACAAAACTTAAAATTGTTTCGAAGAAAAAAGAAATTTTATAGGTATCAATATTCATAAATCATAATTCATAGATAATTCATAATTCGTGGGTACTTGAAACCAGTTTTTTAGGTACTACACTAGTGGGGTCGCGGTATTTTTCGGGTACTTCACTAGCTATAGTCGAATTACTAATAGGTTTTTTTTATTACTATACTATACTAACATTTTTCTTCCTATTTTAGCAGACTTAGCACTTAGCAGACTGACTATGATCTATTTAGTGTGCAGACCAAAGTTATGGTTAAAAATATTTTAAAAAAGTTATTTTTTTTTTTTGTTTCTTTGCCTTTAACAATATAAATTATAAGAATTTTACAAATTATAAAATGATAAAAATGTAGGTACAATACCAAGAAAAAATATTAAAAATTTAATAAATCTAAATATATAAAAAAATATACATATTAGGTACCTTTTTTTTTTTTTCCTGTTTTAACCGACGACGCCGCGGGATCTGCTTTCGCATTGCTTCCGCGGACATATTAGGTACCTACATAATATAAATTGAATGTTCTTTAAAAAATCACTTTTGTGTTGATAAAAATGTATATGACATTAATTTTGGCATTTGCATTATATCATAATTTGTACAAATCATATACATAATTTATATTTTTATATCAAAGAGACTGAAAAAAAACTGTTACAAAATATTTTTTACCTTACCTATTTAGTCTACACTCTAAATAGATCATAGACAGTTTTAAATCTGTTGAAATGTGAAGGAAAATGTTAGTATAGTGTAGTACCCACCAAAAAATATTAGGGACCCAACTATTGTGTAGTACCGGACCAAAACCGGACCCAACTAGTTTAGTACCTAAAATAATCCCGAAACCAACTAGCGTACCTGAGATTAGCCCCTAGGGCTTGGATGCACCGATTATAATTATTATACAATGTTATACAAGCCAAAAACTATTCCCTCAAATTTTGATTTAGATGAATCAAAATTCTAAAAAAAAAATATCTTCTTTATAATTTAAAATTAAAAAGTGGTTCATATTTGAAAAAGGGAAGTTTGATTTGTCACATGATCGACCTTAAGTGGTACATAAAATCTCAAGGATTCGAAGAAAATATGGTCTTCAAGTGCGTATTTAAAAATTCCAAAAATCAGAATTTTGGTATGCTTGATTTAAGTATACAAATAAGGATAGCATGTTTAAAATAACCCTGTAAAATAGATTGATTTATGTATGTATACCAATAAAACTATTTACATTTTACATTATATTATAAAAATGCCTATAGCCTAGTATAACCAAAATATGGTCATCGATTTTTTAAAAAATATGGGATAAAAGATTTTTTAAAATCTAAAATGAGCCATTTTAATAAAAAAAATGTTTGGAAAATACTGCAATAAAGTATCAAAAATATTGTTAATAAAAAATTTTGGTTGAATTCCATCACGTGTCTGAATATGAATGTAACTCAATTCTCAATAGTCCTACTCCTAAATAATTTTACAAGTAGAGTACCATACAAAAGTAAATACAACTACTGTATAAAAATAACCTATTTCTCTACATTTTATTTTATTTTTGTGTCCACGTTTTCATTAACGGTGTGGTGTACTCAAAACCTATAAATTCCACTGACTTGACCTTAGTGCCAACGTGCGGCTTATACGCCAGTGTTCTCCTGGACTAGTGAGTGGTTTTTGCAAATGTAAAAATGTGTAAAAATATGTTAAACGGTCCACTGTCGCCTATCAAGTGCTTATATATTCACCTCAAAAATACAAATATCCTATGAATAATCAGTATTTTATTTTAGTTGGAATACCAAATAATATATGTTGAAATACATTATGATTTATAGCAATAACATGATATACATAACATTATAATACCTACCTATATAATAAATATATGTTAAAGTACGATTTTAAATACATTATAATGAAAATGGCATTTGCAATATGTCCTTACTTAAAAAATATTTTTGATTTATTTCTATTTCTATATTCTTAAACTATGAATATTTATTTATTTTTATATTTATAATATATTTATGTAAGTAGGTACATTCACATTTTTATCCATACATTTACAATTTTTTTATTTATATATTTTGTATACCTACTGCACCGATAATTTCCATACTATAATAAGGAAATTGTAAGAATGTAATTTTCAATGCTGCGTCGTGCACTCTTGAAATTGGCCTATAGCTGCGCTTGCTTTCCTTACGTTGCTCAAACAGTTAACAGCAGCCATGGCCGTATCAGGATTATCCGAATGTATACATTTTTTTAAAAACTAAAATGTTCAAGAACATTTTCAAATATGTAAGTACCCACATTATTTCTTAAAAAAAATATTAACATACCGGAAGGAATCCTAACGCCTCAATCCTTACACAATTTAAGGGGTCTTCGGATAATCCGCTGAGCGCAAGAGGAACGTATTGTCTCTGACGACTTTGTGCTCAGATTGTGTGTACTTAATTAATTTATCTATAACGTGTTTGCAGCTGAATCTACGTGCAGTCACACCAACAGTGCAGCATTTACCCAAAGCTTTGCAGAGATTGGCTCACAAGTTCGTGTGCTCCTGTAACAGATAATAATACAAATGGGTAGGCACCTATAGATTTGTCTGTAAGACGTAAGTACACATATGGTTATTTATTACTTACCTACTTATTTAATGTATTTTCTTATTATGTGTAGGTAGGTATATAATTATTATAAGTATAATGTCATACTGCATCTATATTAAAATTCAAACTTACAGTAGATACGAGTTTTGCCAAATTTTCGACCATTATTTTTGAATTCTTATCGAACGAAGCAATAACGACTATCAGATGACAAACTGCCGCTAAAAAATCCAAATTCTTGTGCGTCAATAAATTTACCAGGTCCCAGATCACCTCGTACATTCCTTTTCGAGGGTTCAAGCTGAACTAAAAAACGCACAAGATGAAAATTTTTTAAAAAAAACGTATAAGAATCCACTATGAACTAACACGTTTAAGGCGGGTTTCCACTATATATATACACGTTTGCCGTGTACACGAAAAATGTTAAACTATGTCCAACAACACGGTATCGAGGTTAATCGTGTGGTAACTTAACCTAACCAACCAATCACAGCAAAGGATTTGTATTTAAGTACACTCGTACGTGTATATCGGAAACCTGCCTTTATAATATAATATTGGTATAATAGGTATATTTTACTTGTGTGTTTTCGACTATCATGGCCAGGCATTCGGCAGCGGCTATGATCGTTTGCGGTTCGTAGAAATCTTCGTACCTACTTGTCGAATTCGTCCACGTCCAGGGACGGCAACAGTACGAAGATCAACCGAAACCCCTTGGCCTTGTCGATCATGTCCATGCACTGCGGGTCGCTAGACGCTCGACCTAAAGCGGTTGAACACATGTGCCAACACAAGGCTGTGCAGGCTAGTGTTGAGCAGTTCCAGATATTTTGACACGGAAAATTGCCTGAGCTTACCACGCAATGATTCAGATTTCCACAATTCAGACAGCGTGGCGACTGCGTAGCCGATTACTCGGTCGTCGAATTTGTATGCCAACAGTTCTAGAAGGAAATATACTATGCGGTCTTTCTCGATCACTTGTCTGCATTTCGTGAGCAATGAGCTCTTCCACAGCACGGTGATGATCAACACCATAACGGGGTCGTCGTTCCTGCGGGACGCAATGGTATAATTAATTAATGTAGTTGTTATATTAAGATTGTTGAATTTCAAGCATGTACCAGGTGGCGTATTTACAGACCGTAACTGAATTCGGCCAAACGGGTATGCACGTCACCCAATACGCATGCGCGTGCCACAACTGTATCACAACTGTACCACAACTGTATCACAAACGAACTAACGTTATCACTTATCATAGTTCTGTTAATCTGTTCTTTCTAGAGGTGGAAAGTTTTTAACGTCAATATTTGGCCAAGATTTTTGGAAACGTTTAAAAATTGGTACATCTGGGGCAGATGCAATATCAATCTTTATTTCAAAAGCACATCTCAGTACAACTTCAAAGATATGGTGTCTGCATGGTAAATATAGAATATCGCGTTCCAACTTTTGCTCCAGTAATATACAAGCACCTTTTAATCGACCAGTATTTGATGCAGTAGTATCACAGCATAAAGCTTGCACGTTTTCAATAAGACCCCAATTTTCAAGTTCCTGATATACAGCTGTCGCTTGATTTTCTCCTGTACCAGAGCTAAGTTCGGGTACTCCAAGAAGTTGGTCTGTGCCATTATGTGATATAATTACCTTTAGGTGGTCAACCAATTGCTTTCCGGATAATGAGGGAACAAGTTTACCATCCCAATGAACTACACAAGGACCTACTACAGATGTATTGAAATCATTTCGAATTTTCTCCATTCTTTCTTTCCGAGTACATTTAATTGATGTACGATTAATTATTAATGCATCCGTATTAACGCCTAACGACTGAGCAGTTGCAAGTAAAATATGAACCGCGTCTCGATCACTAATCTTACACCTATCAAGTGCCGCGGACAGTTTATCAGTAATAAAATTATTTTTACCTCTTATTTGAACTAATTTTGGGTTTTCTATAACTTCTTCAATTGATATTTTGTCAATTTCCTCTGATTCACTACTTGAGGATGGAAAAAGAGACACACTATCAACCACTCGTCCTAAAATAAAAACAAAAATAATTTAATTAAAATGCATAAGTTTAATTTATTAACAATAAACATAAATCGTCAATAAAAAATAAGTTACCTAAGGTTTCCATTTCTTCATAAGCTCTTTTTTTCTTTTTATTGCATCCGTTGATTTTTTTCAAATACGTTCTTCTAGTTTTTGGTTTTTTTTTATCTATTCCTAGCATACAGCCCGGTCTTCCTTTGGTCCTCTGAGCAATTAAAAATTGTTTATCGCTCTCTATTTTTATTGTACTTAACGCGTCAGCATGAGCGATGTCAAAAATATCATCAAACTTATTTACGAATAAGTCTTCTTTCTTTCGATTATTGTCTAATTTTATAGTTTCGTGTTTTTGTAGATTTCTCCACTCATTATATAATGACTCCAATTTTTTAATTAAATGATATTCTTCTCTTACAGGAATACATGCTTTTTCCCAAAATATTACGATCTCTCTGATTACTAATTTGCTGCTCTCATGTAAATTTAATTTAACAACACGCATATTATAAAACAGTACACTTAAAGCTTGTTTTATTGAAGGTAATTTACTAGGTACCAACAATTTGATTCGAAACACTTCCAACTAAAAATATTTTACTGGAATCGCGAAGGTTAATTTTTGACGTAGACGCCATAATTATAAATTAAAACTTTAAAATAAAATAAACTGTGAGAACAAAATTAATTAATTTCTTTCAGTCGTTAAACAAAACAACACATTTGTCACTAACGTGTATTCCCGTGATTGAATGACTGTCGACTGATATTTTAATGATTAGAAACGGTCCGAACTCCGTATATTGAATTTGATAAAGTTTAATAAATTACGTCGCAAATTATATCGCATTGCCTATCGTTTTATCGTAGCACTTTATAATATTAAGACTACAAAGTATTTATCGATTACAATACTGCTAAATACTGATAATAAAATGCTTGTTTACTTATGAAAATTGCCTTATTTGACCATTTTTCGACCCCCGTGGGGCACGGGAAGGGGGTGAGTATGCATAACCAAATTTTACCCAAATTAATTTTTTATGGTATTAAACAAAATAGGGGGGTGAGACATAAACAATTTGAAAGTTCAAAAATAAGGACCACCCTAAGCTATTTATAGAAAACCTATTTAAAGGAATCAAATTAAATAATACATTTAATCAACTGTTCTCGTGATTTAAATGCGATTAGACATTTCAAATGTCAAAACCATTGAAAACTGACTTGTGGCTAGTTAAAATTAAATATATATACATAATAGATTGGTAAACATAATAATACCCGCATTAGGTACATTATATATATTTTTTTAAATTCACAATAGGTAGGAAGCTCGAAACTGTAACGCGCTATTCTATAGAAATTACTTTTCAAAAGTAATTTCCATTACATTTTCGTTACTTGAAAATAATTCTAATGAAATTACGTAACGCGTTACTTTACTACCTAACCCTTTTAAACGTTTCCAAAAATCTTGGCCAAATATTGACGTTAAAAACTTTCCACCTCTAGAAAGAACAGATTAACAGAACTATGATAAGTGATAACGTTAGTTCGTTTGTGATACAGTTGTGGTACAGTTGTGATACAGTTGTGGCACGCGCATGCGTATTGGGTGACGTGCATACCCGTTTGGCCGAATTCAGTTACGGTCTGTAAATACGCGGCCCGGCGGGCACACCGCCCGGGACTACGGGTCATTTAATCGTAGCTGTCTGCGGCGTGCTGTTAGTTATTAACACGCTACCCGACCCAAGACGAATCCCGGGGGAACCGGGCGTCCCACCATCCGCAACCCGTGGACGCAACCTATACCGACCGTCGTCGGTTAACGGAACCATAGCAGAGCGGCTGTGGTTCCGCTAGATATCATCTAAGGCACGAAGCTCCCGGGTTTGGTGCCTTGCGGCTACGACCGCGGACCTAATGTTAGCACTTGGTGCTAGTCAAGGGCCGTGGAGGCTTACGGTCGCCGCCCGCCGAACCTCCCCACAGCACTTTCGTGTCTGACATGACCCGAGGTTCGACGGGGCTGACGACCGCACGTCGTCTAAGGACCACCAGCACCGGACGCGCACGGAGGAATACCCCGGGGAGCCCGTACTAGCCGGATGCATACAGGTGCCTTTCGCCACCTTGGTGGGGCCGCAATCTATCCACATTGCTTTCCGTTTTTGGTCACGGACAACCTTCGCTGCATATAGCTCCAACGATAAGCTGGGTGAGCGCTAAGGAGGGACCGTGCTTTCCCGGCCGACTGTCGCCGTACGGGTCCACCCGGCACCGTCACTCGGCAACTTTCCCCTGACCAAGCGTGTGGTCTATTACCACATAGTATGCTCCTGCAAACTGCCACTTCGAAACCAATCCGCCGTCGGTCGAGGCAGTGTCCACCACGACCGACGTGTGAGGGCTCGATGTTAATCTCTCAACACCGAGGGGCCCCCTCACATCCCGAAGCACCATTCTCGCCTCCCGTCAAGTAAGGCACATCATTGGTGGGATGCTCAGACGAAGCTTCGTCGGCGAGTTGCCTCAGCTTATGATCCTCCCGAGATTTGGGCCGTGTACCACGGGCTCACGGTAGGCCCAACTCCACCTCCCAGAGGCGTCACCAGGTGGCTAAGCCCAGTGACCGACCCGCTCTTCTCGAGGTCGCGGTCAGAACCTCGATCTACGCCCCAAGGCGTCACCAGGTGGCTAAGCCCAGTGACCGACCCGCTCTTCACGAGGTCGCGGTCAGAACCTCTCAACGCCCTAGTCCCCGTAGGTTTCAGTGCGTCCGCGCCCCAGGCGCCGGCCCCGTCTGGCCTGTTCCCTTTTAGTCGCCTCGTACGACAAGCAGGGAATACTGGGGTAGAATTCTCCAAGGCCCCCACCCCAGGGCCTGACTACACGTCCCTGACGTATGAGCGCATCCCGGGTCAGGACGCACTCGAGCGTGTCTCACCACTTCTGCCACTTACGCCATATGCACTCATTCGAGACACCCCGAGTGCTGTGCCATCCGTCGTTGACGGTGGCCGCGTCCTGACCCATGCAGGTCTTGTGACCTAATGCTTGTGTCCGTTTGTTCTCCGTCATCGTACTTTCCTATCTATCGCTTCTATTGGTTAAGGCTTCTCTTGCAAATACTACCAAGGCATCATATGTTTTGATTTGAGGAACGCTCCTTTTTCAGGCGGCCATCTCTCGCCTTCTTCTGCTAGGACTTTTTTCAATTTTCTTCTGGCCGGTATCGTTCTGAGACAGAACCTGAGTACGTGCCGGACCGTTTCTGGGTTCCTTCCACACTCACATGTGGGGTCCCTTACCAGGTTAAACTTATATAGTTTGCCATAGAAGTCGCCATGGCCTGTCAAAAACTGGGTGGTGTAATGATCCAGTTCTAGAAGCAGGCTGTATCGCGTACGGACAGAGGGGATCATGTATTTCGTTCAGCTGCCTTTTTCATTTCCATCATAGCGAGTCTGCCATTCCTCGTGTAGCCCGTCGAGTCTTCTGTCGAGCTCCTCAATCGTTATTTTATTTTCCCTGAGTTCGCGTCTGTTGACATTCTGACGGATTTCCAGGTCGAGTGGTAATGTGCCCGCAACCGCTGCGAGGCAGTTCGTAGAAGCCGTCTTGTAAGCGCTTGTAATGGCCAGTAGCGGGGCTCTCTGTGCGCTGTTTAGCACCTTCTGGCTTATAACTAACCTTCCACGCCTCAGCAGCATAAGTAATTCTGGGCAAGAAGACGCCTTTGTAAATAATGCGCGCCGTGGTCCGGCTAAGCTCCCAGTTTGCCGACCTGAGTGCCCTTAGTCGTCTGTACATATCTTTGGACTTTTTGCTGATGGCCTCTATGTGGGCCCAGTAACTCCTATTGGGATCCAGGATGACACCCAAATATTTTGCCGTAGCTGTCGATTCTATTCTACCGGCGTCAGGCGCTGTACCAAAGCTGACTGAGTATCCCGGTTTAAGGCCGCCTTTTATAGACATCAGTTGGCTTTTGCTGGCCGAGAATTCCAACGCATACAACGATGCCCAACTTGACAGAAGGTCGAGTGCACCTTCGATCCTTTTGAAGGCAGTGGGTGGTCTCACAGCTCCGACCAATAATAATATGTCGTCCGCATATGTGATTATTTTCATTGTGGCCCCCTTGCCCGTGCTATATATGGGGTAATGGCCACTTTCCACAGCGTGGGCCCTAGCTGGGATCCCTGCGGGCAGCCCCTTTCTAGCTTTTTGCTGTAGTGTACGTTTTCCAACTCATAACCGGCCCACCTGTTCGTAAGGTACGAGTTTACGATACTAAGGGTGTTTAGTGATGCATCCAACGTTCTCAGTTGTTCAAGTAGCGGTGCCCACTTGACATTGTCGAATGCACCTGTTATATCGAGGAAGGTCCCGAAAACGTGCCTAGCCTTGGAGGCATCGACCCACGTGTATAGATCGTCGATGGCAGTGGACGTGGATTTGCCGATAGTGAACCCGTGTTGCTCAATGAACGAGTTAAGATTCGTCTCTCTGTCGATTGCCTTTATTATTAAAGTTTCGAGAGTTTTACCCAATACTGGAAGAAGGCTTATCGGCCTACAGGAGTTAGGTCTGTCCTTCTCACCTCCGCCGGGTTTGGGAATAATCACAAGTTTGGCCTTTTTCCATGGCTCAGGAAATTTACCTTCCGATATACATCATCCAAACAGGTCGGTGATCGGCCCCCAGAGAACTTGCCAGGCCTTTCTTAGCATCCCTGCCGTTATACCATCAATTCTCGGTGCGCTAGCGGGCTTTATTCGCCAAATGGCTGCTTTGATAGCAGTAGGGTCGGGTCTTTCCTGTACTTCCAGAGGACCAATGTGTTTCCAGTCACCCTGGTTAGGATCCGAGGGTACAAAAGTATTCAATATAAGCTCCACCGTTTCACTTTAGTCTGTCGTGCTGTTGCCATCTGGGCGAATTAGAGTGCTAGGAACGGAGTTATCCCGTTCACTACCGTTCTTCGCCCATTTGAAGGCTTTGCCCCACTGTTTTTCATTCGTGTCGTTGGCGAACACTTTCCAAGCGGCCATTTTTTGCTTTCTTATCTCTGTTAAAAAGTTGTTACGCTTGGCGTTGTACGCAGGCCGGTCATACGCTCTCAGGCCTTGTCGCCTGGCTCGGATCAAGTCCCGTCTCAGAGTCGAGAGCTCGGGTGACCACCAGATGTTTTTGCCCAACGGGTTTCTGGACCTGCATTTTTCCATCGATCGATTTGCAGACAGTTTTATTGCGCGATCAATACCATCTGCCATGCAGTTAATATCTGTTTCGGGGATGCCACCAACTTCCGCCGCGAGAGTGCTGTGGAACAAGTCCCAGTCTGCGGTGCGGACATTGAACCGAGGGGAGGTCGTTTTCTCAATTCGAGGTCCATCTATAACTAGCTCGAAGCTGAGCACCCTGTGGTCACTGTCTGTGACATTTTTAACATCCCAGCTTTTTATTTTATTTTTGATGTCTGAGGTGGACATTGTTACATCAATGTTGGATGATCCCATCCTCTCCCGGTCATAGGTATTTATTTTACCATGGACATTGTGGACTGTGAGTTTGAATTTCTCGATGAGCTCTTCGACAATCCTACCTCGTTTATTTCTCTTAGGTGCGTGCCATAATTTGGAATGGCCATTGGTGTCCGCGCCTACGAGGACCCGTTTTTCCTTGTTAAGGATCTGGTCCAAACGTTCGGTGTGTAGGATGGTGGGACATTGTACTTAAAGTACGCAGACACCAGGACTATAAAGTCACGGGGACCTTTGCCATACGTGGCTCTTATAACTGTTGCATATTTTGAGTTGTACGTACCTAGACTAATGACTTGAAATCTGTCAGTGAGGACAATTATTGCCGCACCCGATTTGTTGCTAAGGTGGACCTGTCTACAGTTTTCAAAGGCATAAATCCTACCGTTCTGAACCAAAGGTTCTTGTATCAGGGCAAAGTCAACTCTTTGGGATCTGCACCACTCCCTTAGCTGGTGGCTCGCTAGTCTGTCCTTATTCAGATTGTGTTGTACTACTTTTAGACTTTTCATTTTTGGATTTATCATTTATCCCAAAGTCCGTTTGTCGGGTAAGCTTCCTGGTCGCGGCCGTTCTCGCCGGGCATTTCATTGAAGCCGCATCATGCTTGTTGCTGTGGCAGTTTGGACACTTTACTGTCAGAGACTTGCAAGTTCTGGAATCGTGTCGTTCTGAACACATTCTGCACCTAGGCTGCCCATCAATGCAGGTTCTTGCCGTATGTCCGAACCGCTGACAATTGTAGCACTGGGTAACCGAGTCGTAAATCTTCATTTTGCATTTTGTCATACCTAAGTATGCAAACTTGCCCTCAATCTTTTGAAGGGTCTCTGGGGCGACCTCGATTACCCAGTGAACCGTATGTCCTTCGCGAGGACCAAGCATAAATAGAGGCTTAATGCGCGTTACTTCCTCTACGCTTATTTCTAGAGCTGTGTTTTGACTTAAGGCCCACGGAATCATATATTTTTCGAGAAGCCTGTCAACGTATTTTCCAATGACTCAAGGCATGCGTGGAGCCTTCTCGACCAGATTATTTGTGCGGCGCAGAACAGCCGCGGTCTCGGGGTTCTCAGGGAACAGGATTATACCGCCCTTTTTGGATCTGGTCGTTCTGGACCTTCTGCTCAATTGAGCTGCGGAGTTCCTTCCAACCCTCGTCACCCGTGGTCATTTCAAACCTGGGGCCTACCCTGGCAGTTCTGGAACTATTTCTTGTCTTAGATGCTGGCGGATTTTTACCCGAGTTAGTGATGGGTTTTGCCAAACCCAGCCTACTCTTTACAGATACGTTTTTACGTGTTCCGAGCTGTGGGAATTCTTCCCGTTTCTTATTATTGCGAGCATTCGTTTTTGCAGCAGCAGCATCAGCATAAGAAACACCTGATGGGCTAACTACCATGATGCAGTCATCGTCAATATCGACATATCCAACGGGTGGAGGTATAAGCCTAGGCGTCATGGCCGACGACTCCGGGACAGAAACACCGATCGTGCGGAGGGCTGTGAGTTCAGCTATGAAATTTTCTTTCTCATGTAAGCACTGGTTGATTTTTTCCCTCTGCGCCCCCAAGTCGCAGTGGAGGTTGTTTATGTGACTGTGGCGAACCAGTGCCTTCACCACATACTCCCTCCCGATGTCGGTCGCGCTCCCTGCGTTGGCCACACCGCTCGGCCCTCCGCGTCGTTCGCAACCGCGAAGTGTCGGGCGGCCGCCAACGGTCTCTTTTCTCGGCAACCGTCAACCGACGTACACCACACCGTCTCGAAAACCGCCGCCATCTTTCTGCCACTGGCAAAAGTACTCAGCAACACGACCACAGGTCTCCCTCGAGTACACGACCCGTAACACACTCTCATCGCGTAAAGAACCCGACCCGTTCGTCGGAACAGAACATCGCGACTCGACACCGTCCCCGCTGTTAGTGACCGGCATTGCCTCATCTTACCTTGTAATATTTACGTCCGTCTAATTACAATAAATATTTATCAACTACAAGCCGTCTCAGAGCACATTTATTTCGTACCTTGCGTATGTTGGCCGCGTAAGTTGTAACACCCTTCAAAACCTACGCGCGCCACATGACTATGGAGCGAGCGGAGTTCGTCGCGTTGTTCTTCAAATTTTCCAAGAACTTTAAAACTGGCCCTGCCCAGACGGTTGTTACTGATAAGGATCTCGTCCAGCTGGTGGGTGATGGTATCAATCCAGCGCCTACCAATTTTCGACTCTTTGATCATGTCTTCAAGGATCAACTTCGTATCTTTGATATTATCGCAGATCTCGTCAGAGTATTTCTCCAAGTCCGTGGCGTGCGGACAAGGTGAGCCAGGGCTGGTATCCTCTTCACCAAGTCTCTTTCGTTTTATAAGTCTATTGGCAGTCAAGTTTTTAAACATAGGCGTAGTGTACGCCGAACTGCCAGCTTCGGTGCCATCATCACCACCGCCGCCTCCTTTGAGGCGTAACGTGCTTTTAGCTGAGAGGACATAGCCACCATTGTCCAGTATAGTCAAGTTTTTGTCATTTAAATTTGTTGTCATATTACCCGTAGGCGCGTCGGAATTGTTTCTGCCCGAAGGCACGTCAGTCGGGCCACTGAGCTCCGACCGTTGATGGAAAGTGACTTGGCCCCCCAAAAATCCATGGGCCAGTGCTCCCGCAGGAGGTGAATTTGCCGGACTTGCCGGATTATCACTTGGGGTACTTTCTGTTTTAATCACTTCCATCTTAGTGGTTTTCGGGTGTCCTTCCCTACGTTTTTAACCTACCGCCAGGCTAGGCCCTGATCCCTCTGGCTCACGTCGGAGTTGCATCGAGTTGCATCCGTACCATACGTGGCCTGGTCAAGGTATGTCCATTCCGGTGCATGGCGCCTACGACCGGAGTTGCCAACCTCCGAAAGTTCGGTCCCGACCGCAAATGGTAAGTCCACGGCCGGGCTTGACCGCCCGAGAACTGGCTAAGGTAACCGGGCGATCCCCCAGTTAAGGGTTGACGCCTGTACTCCCGTCCGCGACGGCCCTCAGACCCTGAGGTCAGGTTACGCCCACGATTCCTGCCAGTCAAAGGACACTGCAGCTGACTGGTGGTGTATCGCGGGTTGCTCCCGACCCGAGGTATAGGCGCGCCGCTCGCGAGAGCACGACTTGGCGCCGCGTAACAGCTCACGCGACGCCTGGGGCCCGTCACAACTAGTTTAAACGGACCCGATTTTGAAAACCTCTTAGCGGCCGACACAACTGTCGGCCGGGCGGGGTCATCACGTCAAGGTGGGTTTTCATCGACCCCGATCATCTAAGGCAGTGTGTGTAATACTATGGCGGATAGCCCATCTTGCAATTGGGGTATCAAGTCCTTCCTCTGTTTCAAGTGATAAGATAATATCATCATCTGTTATGCTAGAACCACTTAAGTATCTATCAGAAGAATCGCAGGAAAATTCTGAATTGTTACTGTCAAATGTATTGCTGCCATTTCCTTCTAAATTGTTGGAGACAATTTCTTCTGTAACTTGGGGAATTGCTAAATTTGGAGCCAATAATGAATAGTCTTCGTCATTTTCACTGCTTGGTGTAAATAATGTAGCAATGGAACGAGCTGCTTGTTTTCTGCGACGGTAACGAGTACTTTTTGACCTATTATTGATATTTTGAGAGTTTAAGCTACATATATATAGTATTAATATAAATGTTAAAGAATTAATTTTTAATATTTCAGTGATTATGATTAAGTTAAAATATATGTTTTAGTTAAATTAGGCAACAATAGCATTTTTATTAATGTGGTATATTGGTAATTATCAATTATTGTTGTTTAAGTGACAAATTACTAACTTATTTACTTTTTCTAGGTAGGTACCTAGGTATAGTTATTAGTTACTGGAGAAAGAATTATATAAATACTAATTTAACAAATATAATCTACTACAATATATAGGTACTAATATAATGTATGATGTATACCTAATGTATAGATAATCATAATATTATAAAAGTACCTATACCTACAATAAGCTATAGATATATACAGAAATAAACTAATTTAATTTAATTCTTATTATACCTATACATATACGTATATTGTAACCAAGCTAAACATGACAATTACATGTACCTATATTGTTGGACATAAGTAAACATATAGAATTCAATTTTAAATATATAACTAAAGTATATATAAAGTATAGGTTAGGTACCTATTTAAAAATGTATTTTTACAATAAATATTTTCAACACATTAAACTGACTAAAAGTACAGACTTTTAGCATAATGATTATTATGAATGATAATTACTTGTCTAATAAGCAATTTTTCTAGGGGGGTGGTCAATGGTCATGAGTATTACGCCTATAAACTAATAATGAATATTAATATGTGTATATATATTATATATACTTACATGATGACAAAGTCGTAAATTCAAATTTCAAATTCCCAACACAATGTTATTATTAGCCACTAGGTAAGTAATAAGTACAGGTAATCACTAATACTGAGTAAGGCGTTGGAGTCGGACACTCGGACGCATAGATAAATAAGTAAAGAAGTGCTCGGACGTACCTTTACAAGACAATATAATACCGCAAGTGAATAACGCGCGCCGCTCGGAGAAAATTATTAACCAAGAACAATGATTTGGCGGCAATTATTATCAGTTAACACTATAGTCATAATAACGACTTCGAATATAAATAACAATATAAACGATGAGGTTTTATTTAGCGGTGCTAGCACACAGTGCATGCATGGTCAAAACACGGTGATATGGAACTTTCTCTGAACCGAACACCGATTATCTGATACACCACAGATATTCTTTTAATTGTTTTTTCGGTATACCTATTATATACCTTTAAATATTCTTAACTTATGTTTTTGGACATAAATGACACCGACCTCAAACTATTAAATAATTTAGCATTTAGGTTACAAAATGCACCAAAACACCTATAAAATAATAATTATTATCATACTAACATGCGCTTGTGCATTCAAATGATATGCACCGTTCAAAGTCAGAAACACCGACTAAATACCGTGTATATTAAGTTTTAAATAACCGTGTTTACCGCGTTTTTACAAATCAGTGCATTTGCACTTTCACAGCACCATTCAGTGGCGGTAAAACTGACCATGAACCATAATTAAATTTTAAGTTTAATAACTGCACCAAAACACAGCGCCAACACCGTTTAATAATTTTAAAGTACTTTTCAGGCAGATCATGTGCTTCACAAAATTGTTTGGCTTCATCTATAATTTGTCCATATTTGATGTCAGAGCGCATAGTCAGTAAATTTTCTTTTGCGTTATTCACAAGTCTTAATGACTCAATAAAGTCTAGGTAGTGATTTTGACTGTAAATAGTTAAACAGTGGTGTTGTGACTGAAAAAACCTTTTTCATAAAAATTAATGTTACTAAAAAACTAAATGTTGAACAAATACTTTTAAATATACATGCATTGGAAGACGTTACTCTATCATTGAATGATTCCAAAATATTTAGTGATTTTTATAATGCTTTAAATCTTTCGTATACAACAGTAATTACGCGATCATGAGATGCCCATCTCGTATTAGAAAATCTTTTGATACGACGAATCCGTTTTTCTGGATATAAATCATGTTGACATTCAATAAACACAGCAGTCCTTTTTCTTGCCCTCATAAATTCAATAATTGATTGCAAGTGACCAAAAAAATTTTTTGTATCTGTACAAGAGTCACAAGTATCAACCACAACCAGATTTAATAAGTGTGCGAATCACCATACATAAATAGAATTTGAATTTTCATGTTGAATATATGTCCTTAACCCTGAATAGGTACCTTGCATTGCTGCAGCGTCATCGTACGCCTGCGCACATAAGTTTTTCTTCGAATCAATGTTATGCTTCTCTGTTATTTCACAAAACTTTTCATACAATCCTTGTGCCTCAATGCAGCCTCTAATGCTACAAGCCTTTCTTCGATAACACCATGCATATTGACAAATCTTATTATAAGTGAAAACTGCTGAATATTAGCAACATCAGTAGTTGTGTCAATAATTACTGATAACAATCCAGCTTTTTTAATTTTAGTTAAGATTGAACATCTTACTATTTCTCCCAATATTTTAAAAATTTTATTTTGACTTATTCGAGATAAAAAAGTAAGTCTATTTTGTTTTTCTTTTTTTAAATTTATCTAAATGTATTTTTAAAACAGCATTATGGTGACTAAGAAGCTCTACTAATTCTAAAAAATTACCTCTATTTTTTTAAGTCAACTTTTCATCATGTCCTCTCAGGGCTATATTCTGACGTGCTGTAAATATTATAATTTTAATAATGACACGAAGAACTTCTCGGTTTTCGGCTATATTTCTATTTGCATTTTCCATTTTATGCAAATCAATTCTATAATTTTGTTGGTACAATCCCCGACTAATTTCAGATTCCAAATGTTCAGTGCTGTATTCATGATTCTTTATATTTCTATTGAAGTTTGTCCAATCATTTGATCCATTGGACCTAACTGATTTATGGCCAAAATGGCTAAAATGGTTAAAATGGCCAAAATATATATGTAGTATAAAATAAAAAATATATAATAAAAAATTTAAAAATATGTTAACATATTAAATTAAAATACAATTCAATGTATACAAATGTAGACAAGTAATTTAAAATAAAATTAGTAAAAATTTTTACCTTCTATGATGGTAACATCAGTGTCCAACACCGTTTCGCTAATGATATTGACATTACATACACTGGTTGTTTCTAAAAAATATTTATATTTCTAAGAAATCGGGATCTGGGGTGGTAAAAGTAAAAGCCTACGTTTATTTATATCAGTTGCAATTCCTCGACAAAATATTCCAAAAAAGAAATACAGAAGACACTTTGTCACAAAATATTAACGATTATGGTGATGAGGATGCCGTGGTTGAAACAGGAGAGGACCCTATGGAACAAGTTCCAAGTACATCGAGTGATGGAGCGGCTGAAAAACACATGGACGCGTATCGTACGCGGCGCGTTTCAGTTTATATTGTTTACATTGCTTTTAAAAACAAAGACCGTCATACCCATCGTCGGTCTGGCGCGTGTGCACTTAAACAATGTAAACTGAAACTGCCTTCTTTTGATTATTTTGGATTGTCGTTGTCGTCTACCGATAAGCTATAAATAGACAATAACTATCGTTATTTAACGAAATTAAGATATAAATTAAGATATAAAGATAATCATTTTAAGATTGTGCGTGGCATCACAGTTTATTATTTTTATTTTTTATTTATAATATTAAACAATATTATTTTTTCGATTTTACATGTAATTTATTTTTTGTATTACATTGTAATACATTACATTTTATATTGTATCAACAACATTTTTAATTAACAACATCTTAATTTATATATTATTAATTAATAACATCCTAATATAAATATTTTTAACCCTTTGACGAGTGGATATAATTTGGTATCGATCACCCAGAGAGTGAATTGTTTTTATAAAAATATTGGTATTTTGCTTAAAGTAAAGACGTCATTTGACGTTTTAGATATTTGTGTTACAATAGTAAAGACGTCATTTGACGTTTTAGATATTTGCGTTCAAATAGTAAAGACGTCAATTGACGTCCTACGGTTTTTATAATGCATATTCTCTTTTTATCGTTTTTGATTGTAATTAAAAAAAATGGTATACCTACCTATATGAAAAACTATATTATAAACAGTACAAATCCTTATTCTTTGAATACAAATAAAACGTAATTCAATTTAGTTAAAAATAAAAATACCTTTTTGAAAAAGAAATTTTAATAAATTCAAATAAAAATAACCTTTTTTCAATCAATATGTAACAAAACTATTGTTTGAATGAAAACAATTAATAAATTCAAATAAAAATAATAACCTTTTTTAACAATGAAAATGTAACAAAACTATTGTTTGAATAAAAACAATTAATAAATTCCAATAAAAATAAAAACCTTTTTTAACAATGAAAATATAACAAAACTATTGTTTGAATAAAAACAATTAATAAATTCTAATAAAAATCACTTACAGTATATACCTAATACAATAAAATAATAATAATAATATATATTATATATATGTTACGGTGAATGATGTTACGGTGGCAAACGTCGTCATTCCCCGGTAAATGACGTAATTTACCTAAAAATTGGTAAAGGTTGTAAATGTAGACATTCCCTGGTTATTGACTTCAATCCCCAGTTTAATTGGAGAATGATGTTCAATACATTTATGGGAAGAATTGTATCGAATTTTAAAAAATAGTGTTGACTTTTAATAAATAGTTTTGACTTGAATAAATTGTGTTGACTTTAAAAAACGAAGGTTAAAAATTGTGATTTGAACTTGAGTGAAAGTTTTTTACGCACTCCGCTCTGGGAATTTTTCCTTGTTTAAATTGATCAATATAATATTTATAATTTTATATAAGTAACATTATATGTCATTAACTAGATATCACAATACTTAAACGTAATGGGACGCAATACGATCACTTAACAGATGGTAAGGAGTAATTACACAGAACCAATACGGTGTCATCCCATTTGTGTCGGTGTGAACGATCAGTGATAAGTGGATAGGTATTAGGTGCGCGACAAAGCTTTGTTAGTTACAAAACTGTACAAATAAATAATTTATAATAATATTCACCTATTTTATTCATTTCAATTAACCTAACCTTTCATTAATTTCATTGAAATCAAAAATAATGAGATTCAAAAATGAATCACCCAACAAAACAATAAATCATTATTAAATAGTATCTATATTAAAACAATCAGTGTATTATTTGAGACTTATCATCATTTACCACAAGTTTTGGTAAATGATGTCAATGACCGGTGAAACATATATATTTGAGTTTAAAATATGTGTTTTTACAACATTTACCTACATAATTGAATCATTTTGGTTAATGACGTCATTGACCGGAGAATGACGACATTCACCAATTTCCGTCTTTCACCGTAACATATATATATAATAATAACAGAACTAATCAAATTAAAACAGTTTTTAATATTTATTATAAAAATAAATAAATATAATAAAATTAATACTTTAGTTTTGTATGGTAATTTTGAAAACATGGCTCTAGACATAGTGCCTTTCCACATTCTTTGCACTCATATGCTGTATCTTATCTACACTGGACATCTAACTTAGTTTGAGAGTGAACATGGCATTTTTTTTGAATTCTACTTTTTCCTTCAGGTGGTACTATGCGTGATGGGAAATGACGTTCTGTGAGACGAGTTTTATAATCTCCTATTATTTTCCTACCTGGACGACTTTGACTTGTACCAGAAGAATAAGTCTGAAGTAACTGTTCAATTAGTTTTAAACGATATTCTGGTAGTTTCAATTTAGTTTCCTTCAGAGAATTATACACAATGCCAGAATTGAGGACAGATAAATCAAGCAGATGAAAAAAAAAACTTTTTATACCATTTTATAGACCTTCTGGCTGTATTATTGAACGACATCTGCATATCAGATTTATCAATGAGACCCATATTTACATTGTAATCTAATATGCAGTCAGGTTTTTTAATTTTATTTCCTACACGGTCAGTTTTATTAGTCACTGACATTTTTGTGTCGTGTACAGTTGAAAGCATATGGACATCTCTTTTGTCCTTCCATTTACAAGTCATCATGCCTTTTGTTATAGCAGATATACATTGACCAGGAACTAATTTTGTTGGGAACATGGGAATATCTTTTCTATTATTCCTAACTGTACCACAGGCACCAGTGTTATGTTCTGACAAATATTGGTACAGTAATGGAGAAGAATACCAATTGTCCATATAAATAATATGACCTTTATTTAAATATGGTTCCATCAAAGTTGTTATAACTGAACCTGACTGTTTCAATGATTTATTAAAATTTATATGTTTGTTATCACCTGTATAAACTAAATAATCCAAAACATAACCTGTTTTGCAATCACAAAGGACAAATAATTTGATTCCGAAACGATGCCTCTTAGAAGGTATGTATTGTTTGAACTTAAGTCTCCCTTTCCACTCAACTATACTCTCATCAACACAGACCTTCTGGTATGGTTTAAAAACTGAGCGAAATTTCATTCTAAGAGATTCGACAATTGTATCAATTTTAAAAAGCCTGTTACCTTGTACTTGATTTTGGTTATCACAAAAATTTAATAACCTAAGTATTATTAAATACCTATCTTGACTCATAGTTTTACCAAATATAGGAGTCAATAGTAGTGGTGATGTAGACCAATAATCTTTTATGTTTTTTTTCTTTTGGTGTGCCATTAAAAGTGTTAAAGCAAGAAAAGTATACATTTCATTTACACTGGTTTCCTTCCATTTTTTTAGTTTAGAGTGCTGTTGTAAAACTTTATTTTTTATTATAAAATGAAAAAATTTGTTTGTTTCTTCAACAATATGTTGAACTAAGTGTTCATCAAAAATCATTTTAAAAATATTCAACTCAGAAAATTCAGGTGCTAAATCATCAATAAAATCTAAATTTATACCAGACTGGGAATCATTGAAATTGAATTTTTTTGGAATAAATTTAGAACATACATCATCATTAAAGTTCCGCTGACCAGAAAACACTTGTTTTGGTGAATTTTGATTTTTACCTTTTTTACTGCACTTATTTGCACCGCTTATGTTGTCACTAATACTATTACTTGTATTTTTTATACTTTCATCAACATCCATAAGACCATTGGAAATATTTGAAATGTTAACACCATTATCATAAAATATAGGCAAATTTTCAATATCTATAAAATCTAAATCAGAATTAATAGTAATTTCGGGAGAACTAGCAAAACAATACATGTCCTGGTCATCATTAGAAATATATTGAATACTTGATGTTGGTTTTGAGCTGGGAAACTGGCTGTAAAGATTCCTTGAAGTATTTACTGGAGTACTGCACAATTTAGAAACTAATTTTTCCCTAATCGTTTTTACTAAACTATCACCTTCCAATTCAGAATCTGATGTGTCACCATCCCAAGACCAGCCATCTTCATCGTCCTCAGATTCAGCATTGGTAATTAATTCATTTATTTGATCTTGAGAAAGAGAAGACATTGTAAAAATAATAAAGGTAGTAGGTATCAATAAACTAATAACTAATAAACTATCTATTATAAATTGGACATCTAATTAACATAAAAGTACAATATTTTTCTCTGTTCCGAACGTAATCAATCAAATTATAACGTTAATGAAAATATATATTGTGATAAAGGAAATTAAATGTTTTGGCGGGTAGATCGACAGCTTCAGTCTTATCCGATGTGAAAAACAACAACGTAATTATACAATATATCACAGTGTAGGCAAAAACAGTACACATCATGAAAACCTTAAATTAATTTTTATTTTATTATAAAGTGAACACTGTTAATTATATTATTCTCTTTGACTTTCATAGCCAATAGATAGGAGTAAATATTTCATTATCATTTATCACGTACATATTGATAAAATCAACACAGTTTTCTTAAAAATTCGTTAAACACAGAGATAACTGAAAAACGTCTATTGACGTCGTTACTCTACTAGGCATAATAAGAAAAAACGTCAATTGACGTCTTTACTCGTCAAAGGGTTAAATAATGACATCTTAATTTACATATTTTTTATTCAAAACTGTCCCCTTTGTACCTCTTCTTTGCCAGTCAACAGATCCGTAGTTAGAATTAAAACATTCAGTGAAGTTTTGTCGAATTGAAAATGCTTCATTAGAACTTCTACTTCGATTTGGTGCTAATGAACTAAAATTACTTTCATCAAAGCTGTGTGCTATTTCATCATCTTTGTCCTGTATACTGGCATTTGAACGAATATCAGTTCTCAAATAATTATGAAGCACAATTGTGGCCAACACTATTTTATCTATGGTGTCCAATTTGCATTCAAAAGGTCTTTTGTACACCCGAAATGAAATCTTGCTGTTAATATTCCAAAGCTACTTTCTACTGTTTGTCTTGCTCGGGATAATCGATAATTAAAAACCTTGTTTTCATAATTGCCAGTCGCTATCGCTCTAGGATATGGACGCATTAAATTTGGCATTAGAGGAAATGCTTCGTCTCCGACAAAGACATACGGTGTTTCTGTATTTTGCCAAGGTAACGGTTTTGGTTCGGGCAATTGTAAAGACCCACTGTTTAGCATTTTCCCTAACGAGGAATTGGCGAAAATGTTTCCATCGCTAAACCCACATTTACAGTTGTAAAACGATAATTTGTATCCACAGTCGCCATCAAAACAATGGAAAAATATTGCTTATAGTTGTAGAAAGAAGACCCACTAAGAAGTGGTTTCCGAATGGCGATATGTTTTCCATCAACTGCACCCAAACAGTTATAAAACTGCCATTTTCTCTCATAATCCATGGCAATATTTTTCCAATTTTCCACTGTTGGTACAGGTATGTAGAAGGGTTGTAAACGATGCCATAGACGAACTACTGGTGTTGTCTTGACACTAAACCAACCTTAGTCGTAATATAACGTGCAAATGTGTATGAGATCAACTTAATTTGGTGTTGAATCTACAACAGTTTATGAGTAGATATCATATTATTCTGATGAGAATATTCGTTTACTCTTATCACTCTTATCAAACTCTCTATGTCCCATTATAATTTTTTTTTTTTTTACTGTCAATTAACAATGTTCTCTACTTAGGGCCTAGCCACACTATGCGTTTTGGCGGGTCCGGGTAAATCGGATGCGTTTTGACCGGACGGTATTCACTATGCCACACTATGCGGTTTTGTTCCTGCCAAAACAGCCGTCTCCCACCAATTTTTTCACATTTTTATGGACCACAACAGTTCAAACAGTCGTATAGGACAGACGTATGATTTATTTGATACTCAACAGTAAAAACATCTAATTTAATCATAATTAATGGATACTTAGAGCGATATTCATATTATTTAGACACTACATAATTTTAAATCAAAACAATTTGATATTATTTTACAAGTAAGTAATGTTTATTATATTATATTATATTTTAATTTCGTAGGCTTTATACTTTTACAATATATTAGTTTATATTATATAATCATAGGTAATATAACTTGAAAGTTATATTTAAGAATGAACCGGCAAAGGGTTAAAGTTATTGCTGTAGCTGAGGCATTCGGTTTGTTAGACGAACCTGTAGAACGGAGGTACTGGGTGCATCCAATGAATAATGATCGAGAAAAGAGTGAACAATTTAAAAATTTTTTTGAGAATATAAGACGTTACCCAGAAAATTTTTTCGAATATTATCGAATGTCAGTCTCAAGTTTTGATGAGCTATTGGAAAATTTAAGACCCCACATAACGAAAACTACCACAACATTTCGTATTCCTATATGTGCTGAAGAACGCCTCACAATTACTTTGAGGTAAGTTAAATTTTAAATACGAATAATAAATTAATATTTTTTATATTAATAATTAATTTAATGAATTATGAAAGAAAAAACTAATACATTTGCGAGTATATAATTGTTAATTTTATGGTTATAAAAAATAACTTATATAATAGAAATAAATTAAAATAATAATAAATATTAAATAATACAAATTTAATTATAATATTAAAGGAGCGTATTATCCTTTAAATATCTGACTTAGATATAAAATAAAACTGAATAATAATAATTAATAAATAAATAATACAAATTTAATAATATTAAAGGGGTGTCTTTTCAATATCTGACTTAGATAGGTATAATAGATAATTATAAAAACATTTTTTTTTTTTTAAATTTGCACGTTATAAATACACAAATATCATATTATTTATATTGTGCTTTATTTTGAATGCGTTCGGATTGCTCAGAAGTCATTGGATAGGAAGAGGAAGTATAGGAAGATGATGTATATGGATTATTAATTTGGGAATTCGGTGGATTGAGAGTAGTTTCGTACGGTGATAGAGAAGTTGGAGGGACAACAGGTTGATTATCGGGGAAACCAAAATTATATGGTAAGTATGAAAATGATTGATTTTGAAATGGATATGATAAGGGTGCAGGAGTGCTTTGATGTACATTTGACGGAGTTTGATTACATTGGAAAACGGAAGGTTGAGCCGGTTGAGTTTCTTTGGTTTGTGTGGAAATATTTTTAAAAAACTGTAATGTTTGTAATCGAAAATCCATTTTTTGGTCACAATTTAATTTTTTATAGTCCGGTAATAAGGAAAATAAAAAGGCTTTATCTGGATCAGAATTCACATTGTCTTCTTCAGAAGCGGAAGCGGATAATGAATTTAAAAGCGCTCTCTGAAATTGTGTCATTTGGTTTTTTGTTTTTGACTTTATCGTTGAGGTTTTAGAATTCTGTTTGTAGTAATTTGAAGTCGTCATTATCACCTCATCCCCTTCATATCCATCTGAGTCAACATTGAGGTAAGAATCCCCTTCTTCGTTTTCTTCGTGTTCTTCAGTAAAATTACCCGTCGTTCTATATAAATTATAAAGTAATATTTTTATTTTTTTTTTTACAATAAAATTCAATTCAATACCTATAGATTTATTTTAATATTAATCGAAACTATAAAATTATAATATTGTTTTCTTATATTATAAAAGGTTATATTTCAAAAATTAAAAAAAAAACAAAAGACACGCAATTAAAATTGTAAAATAAGCTCTTAAAATAGAAAATAATGGGTAAATGTCGAAATATGCAAAGATATATGAACTGAAAAAAATTCTTTATTTTAATATTTTTATTAAAATCTTTATATATCATAAAATAAATTTTGAACTGACTTCATATAGGTCAGATTAGGTTAAATACGATCAACCAGAATAAATATGCAAATGCATACGTGCAAATGCATTTGTATAATCCACGCTCTAACCATCACCCTTCTGGGCAGTAAAAATGCTCCGGTTTCCTACCTCATCATTTTTCTGATGGAAAAGTGTATATAGTGATATAGGTGTAAAATTTAGTTTTTTTTGGGGGAGGGGGATTTTTTTGGTAATTTGAATTTTTTTTGGTCATTAACTTCCGAGCCCTATATCGATAACTAAGTACTATAAAAATAAATTTAATAATATAGTAATGTATAATAATATGACTATTATAATTATTGAAAATAGTATTTAAACATCGAATTAAAACAATATTTTTTTTACCTTCTTTTTTGAATTGTATGCTGTAAAAATGAGAGAGATTCTGCATATACATATTTTCTTTTTTTAGCGCTGTCGCCACTTTTCGCCTGGTTTAAAAACTTAGAGTAGTGGTCACGAATATGCCGCCATTTGGTTTTCATTTCTTTAACTATAATTAATATAAAAATAAATACCTAATTAAAGAATTTTAAATTAATTTGAATACCTATTTGTCAATTGTTTTATTATTTATCTATTAATTTATATAATTTACTACATTTTAGATTTTGAGCGGATCGATGATGATCTATATTGATTTTACAATGATGTGTGTTTTTATTTTTTTTCTTGTCATCACCTTTTAGGATAGTAAAAATGCTTAGATTTTCTTCAAAAGTAACTTTTCTGATAGGAAAGTGAATCTAGTTGGTACTTTAGGGGGATCAAAAGTAAAAATTTCTCAGTAGTTTACAAAAACGCCGTGAAAAACAAAAGAAAAATTAAGGAAAAACCGCGGGAATTTTTACGCAAAATTAGTTTTTGAGAAAATCGATTTTGGTTTTTAGTCTAACTCTAAAACAAATTACCATAGGGGTCGGTAAATGCAATTTTAACTGAATGTTTGTATTAGCATTTTCTATATACCATAATATTTTGACTTTTTTTGAGCTGTTTACGGACATTTTCAGTTTAAATTTTTTTAGGTTTTTTCAGTAATTTATTAAACATGTATTCTAAAAATCCTACACAATAAATTTTTTTTTTCATTTAAGATATTTATCAACTGGCACCTATTTTGCTGCATTGAAATTTGATTTTCTAGTTGGAAGAAGTACGATCGGAATAATAGTTAAAGACACGTGTCAAGCATTGTGGACAGTTTTATAGCCAACAGAGATGCCTGTGCCAACCACGAATGACTGGTTAGAGATTTCAAATGTATTTTATGTTAAAACAAATTTTCCGAATTGCCTAGGCGCTATTGACGGTAAACATATCCGATGTAAAAATCCTAGTAATTCTGGATCATTGTTTTTCAATTACAAAAAGTTTTTTTCTGTGGTACTCATGGCTATAGCCGATGCAAATTTACAATTTATCACAATCGATGTCGGGTCTTATGGTCGAGAAGGGGACTCCAATATATTTAAGGAATGCCCATTCGGAAAAATGTTGTATGGAAAAAAACTTAATCTTCCGGAACCAAATCCTTTACCAAATACAAACAACAATCCACAGCCATTCGTTTTTATTGGGGATGAAGCTTTCGCCCTACATACAAATTTATTAAGGCCATATCCAGGACGTAACCTAACTGATATTCGACGTGTGTTTAATTATCGATTGAGTAGAGCAAGGCGCACAGTCGAGTGTGCTTTCGGAGTACTTGCAAATAAATGGCGTGTGTTGCATACTCCCATACAAGTGGAACCTGAATTCACTGACGTTATAATTAAAGCATGTTGTATATTACATAATTTTGTGCGTAAAAGAGACAGAATTAATTTTGAAGAAGCTGAACCCATAGCCTGGATGATATAGATGCTCGTGGAACAGGAACTCGTTCAGAAGGCATTGAAGTGAGTTATTACTTTGCCGATTATTTTATGGGCCCTGGTGCCGTAGATTTTCAGTATAAAGTCTTATAAACTGGTTATTTAAAAAGACACTAATTATTTTATTGTTTTATTAAATATTATTTGTACATTAATAATAATTAACATTATCAATAATAAATTAAAAATTAAGACTAATAATATACATATTATAATATTAAATGATATTGAAAATTATATTGCAAATTACGCCTATGGTAAAAATGTAAAATATAACATGATACTATTCTGCTTACCTTTATTCTCTTTTTCAGATTCAGGCTGTTCTGTCCAATCTGGATACATGGTTTCCCCGATATTTAGCCAACTTTTTTGTTTGATGAACTTATCCATGTATTCTTTACTACCCATTTCCCAAATATACGGGTTACTTTGAATACAGGATATGAATTTATCGGTATCAAAAACCATTTTTTTTAGTATTTAAATATTTTCAAAATATATAAAATTATAAATATTAAAAAAACGCAGCGGCCAAAACGCACAGTGTGGCCTACACGATATAAAACAATGTGTTTTGATTACACGTCCTGCCGATTTGTTTCCCGCCCGACCGCAACATGTTGCGGTCGGTCAGCGGCAGGAATCGACAGGTCCCGACAAAACGTTCTAATGTGGCACCTATGATTAGAAACTATGCAAGTTGTTGTTCCGGTCGACCGGATGCGTTTTACCCGGACCCGCCAAAACGCTTAGTGTGGCTAGGCCCTTAGAAGCTTTCTCTGTTGATACTTAACTCAACTCAAATACTATAGTGTTACGTGCTGCCCCTTCAGGGATCCAGAAAGATGATGCTTTGTAATAATATAAATATGTATAATCTCGTGGTAGTGGTGTATAAGCTCATCGTAGAAGTATATAATGGCTGGTGGAATGAATGGCTCCGGTCTTAGTGGCTCTGGTACATCTGATCGTGCTGTTCTCCTGGCCTGTATATATATGATGTCGGCTCCTTTGATTTGATCGGCGCGTGGGTGTCACGTCATTTCATCGCCACTAAATGCATCGTGCTTCAATTCACCGTGGTCATTTTATCGCAACGTCAATATAATCACGTTATAAATAAATCGCACGACAATTTATCGCGTGTAATCGTTTTTATGATTTTTTAACTCTAATGATCTCTGCTAATGCTAGCCTCAGTCTTATGACAACTGTCAAATCGTAATTTTACCCGTCGTGTATTTATTGAGTACGCTAATTTATTATTATATAATAAAATTATTCTATTATGACTTTTCAAATGCCAAAAACTGAGAAAGGGAAGGATATGCTTTGCTACGATGGCCACATTTTTTTAAAAGAAAAAGAAAATGTCACGAAATCCATATGGAAATGTAATCAGTATTATAAAAATAAATGTCGCGGACGACTTCACCTAAGTGAAGTGAAAATATTAAAAACCACGTTCCAAGTTCATCAGAAATTCAGGTAAAAAAAAACACTTAATAAACTAAAAGATATAGCCAGTAATAATAGTGATATGAGTACACAATCGGTAATAGGTTCAGCACTTAATAAAATTCCTATTGAATCGTCAGGGCAGTTACCTAATATAAATATACTTAAACGTACTATTCAACGTGTACGTAAGCAAAAATTACAGTTGAAATGTTCATCAAGTGTAAGATCTTACCATAGATCAGACAATAAAAACACTTATAGAAATTATGAAACTTTAACACATTATATTTGGACGCCAATTATAAACAAACATTTTTTTGAACAAACCAGATTATCGTGTGCTTTGATATAAATATGCCGAAATGTATTTAAATTTTAAATGGACAGGTTTTTCTTGATATTATTGGCCATTGTTCTATTTGTATGAGCAATGTTAAAGGTGTTGTTATCGATAAACCTGAATCTGAATCACGTGTATTTATTGTTCATATAATGGGCATTTTAATTCATGTAAAAGTGGAAGAAAACGAACAATAATCGGGGAAAAACGTGATTATTTCTTGGATAAGTTAATAAGAGAAAACGAATCTACAGCCTATGTTCAACGTGTTGAAGCCAAAGACATAATGCATTATGGAGAAGCTGAACCAAGCCATATACCATCAAAAAAATGCACTATGAGTTATGAAATATAAAGCGAACAAAATAAATCGAATACATGAACACCCAACAGCTCTTTCATTATTAAAATCATCTTTACCTTATAATAACATGATTCGAGATATAGGCTATGATAGGTTGTTTCTTCACTATTGGTCATCCACAGAAATTAATTCTTATCGTTTGTATGCTAAGAACCATAAACTACCTACAATAAGTATTGATGCTACAGGTGGATTAGTGCAAAAACCAACTTTAATTTCTGGTCGCCAGACTTCAAACACTTTTCTGTATCAAATTGGAGTTAGAGACACTAAAAATAAGTATCAGTTTTCTGTAGGGCATATGTTGTCTGAACGTCATGACAATAACAGTATTGCGTATTGGTTGACCGAGTGGTTGAGAAATGACATTTCACCTCCAAAAGTTATTGTCACTGACCAATCATTAGCATTGATGATAGCTGCAGTCAAGACATTTATTCAGTATTCCAACCTTATTAAATATATAAGCATTTGTTCTTCATTGATTCAAAAATAAATAAATATGGAAGTTCCTAATTGTATGATAAGAAATGATTTTAACCATGTAATTAATGTATTAAGTCCATGGATAGAATACAAATCAGTTTCAAGTCGGGTGAACAATTTTTATTTAAGAGCAATTGGTTTAATAATAGTGAACACTGACTTTGAAGATATAAAAATATTATTAAAGTTAATATTTACAGTAAGCTTAAATGAAACAGAAGGTGTAGATAATAGTGGTCAATTGACAGAGTGTGAAATGGCTAAAACGTGCCTAAAACACCGTATAGCGACACACACTACCGATGTTGAAGACATTATTGAAGAAATAAAAAATAAAGAAGAAGACGGTGATTGATGTACACAAACTTTCAAGAGAAAATTACTAGTACAACAATATTTCAACAAATATTAGATATTTACGAGAGTTGTATTACGAATAGTAATCAACAAAGTAATTGTGGTGATCATGATAATTTACAATTTAGTCCAGGAATCGCGAAAAAATTATTAGACTTTCGTAAACTTCTTCCCTGTTGGTCTGCTGTGATGGTCCCAATATTCAATTTTGGAAATCCAACAGAGTCAAGTGCGACATCTGAAAGCTTATTTAATGACCTAAGATCGAATGTATTAAGACATAAAACATTGCCATTATGTATTGATGAGTTCATCACTATCCACATAAAGTCAATAATTGGTTCAATAAATCTAATTGGCGCGAAAATGCAAATGAAAAAAAGGAAATTGAGGATGTTAAAATAAATACCAACGATTTATTTACATCAAAAATATTTGAAGAAACCGAGAGCATTCTTGAGGATGAGAAAAGTGATGGTTCCCAAACTGAGTTTGAAAATTGGAGGGGCTTAGGACTAGACAAGTATGAACAAAATAATAAAAAAAGTAATTACTTGGACAAAGATCCAAACATTTTATATTATAATGAAAACTCTAAAACAAAAAGTCCAATTATAGGATTATTAAAAAATGGAAATTCACCTCATTTAAAAACACTTGTGCTTTTGATAGCGTACACAGAGCGGAAAACCATTGGTAAAATGAACAAAGTCTTCTGTTCAACTTTCAATCATGAAATATGTACTCAAATAACAAGAATATTATTGATCTGAACATTTAATTGTTCATTTTATTAAAATAGTTTTAGTCAACTAACAAAGATTTTGTTAATCTGTGAAAATAATACAAGCGCAATTTAAGATAGTATGCGGTTGCCCAACGAACCATGATAAAGTGTCTACTGAAATCACTATTAAAATCAGCTGGACAATTGAACACTAGCGCTTGAATGTAATTTATAGTGGCTATAATATATGATAATACTTAAAAAAAAATAATAAGCTCGTAAATTATGGCTTATGCTTATATACTACACATCATGTCACAATCAATATTCCAGCTGTCATAGGTCGTCGCCCGTCGGGCATCCATCATTGATAATATTTATTGCCAAAAAAATATTATTATCAATTGATAATTGTAGTAACTTATATTCTCTTCGGTCACCGTGTGTATTACTTATTAGATACATCTCGATGATTAGATATAATAAATGATATAAATGTTCCCCGTTACAGATCCACCCCCCGCCGGTCCGATAATTGATAAGCTTTCAATCGTGAATACAAGATATGACGTTCGGATTTCCCGTGATATGATATATAAAAATAGATACAAATATTATTGGCTATTGCAAATTAACAGGGAAGTTATCAATTTTTGTAAAATTAACAATTTATTTTTTTGATAAAACGAATAGTGTATTGGTGTGTGCGTTGTGCGCGTTGTATTATGAATTTATGTGCATTCTATTCTTTTTTGACTTTCGCCGTGACACTTTCTTAGTTTCTTATATAGGTACCTAATATCTTTACTGAATAGAGCTAATAGAAGTTAAACACGTAAGTACCTACTATAATAAATATTTAGAATGATAATTAACTATAATTTTTCCAAAATGTAAAGCAATTTGAAAACTAATTATTAGCCTATATAAGACCTTTGGTCCTGACGTTTTCAGTTTTGTCCTCTTGAAGTCTTGTATTGTATCATTGTATATTCGATTTCATACTCTGTGTTTCTACTCTCTGTTGAACATATTACAAATTGAAATTTATTGTAAGTCCTAACCATGTTAACATATTGTATTTAGCTTTACATTTCAGTATACATTTTGGGAACTATTACCCCATTACCATTTTGTATTGACAATTTTATACTCCATATATCTGTTATATATTTGAACTTAAATGTTTTATAAGTAGGTTCTTACACTGTTAAGTAGGTACCTACTAAGGTTTAGATTTATGTAGGTATTTATTCATAGGTATACAATTAAACAACTAATTAGTCTGCAGTTATTTTTAAAGGAAATTAAATTTTTAAATTAACCAAGTTTCAAACAGTTTTTAAATTTAAAATAAAAAATATTTTGTTATATTTGTGAAGTATATACACCAACATTGGCCTCACTGGTTACTCATTATAAATTCATGCATTTACTTGGACCTTACAGTACTTATACATGTAAAGAAAACAATTGTTCTCAATCATTCCAAACATTGAGTAGTTTCAAAAAACATGTCTTAAAAAAACACATATATAATTCAAAAAATAATGAAACTGAACAATGTCATAATAATAATTCATCTTTAGTTGATAATTATGTTATTATGCATGCCAAACATATTATTACATTCTAAAATGTAACGATATTTCAACTCAGAGAACCTTTTTTAAAAAAAGCCAAAGTGTATATCACTGTGACCCAGCCTTCTACACAATGAGACACATCACGGGACACTGTGGTACATACTATTATAAAACATTTTAAATTTGTAGTTTATCTTTAATATTTAAACTTTTAATTTCACAACACTTATATAATATGATCACACATTTAAAGATATTTTTATAATAAATTTTATTTTTGTACAATTAAAAAAATGTAAGTATTCACTTATTTTATTTCAACAGTCTTATGTTAAAGTTTAAAAATAAAAAAAAATAAGCTTTATCACTTTATTATGATCACAATTTACTTCAACAGTCTTATTTTTCAGTTAAGGTTGACTTAAAGGTAAGTAGTTAAATGAAAAATAGAAAAGTGTGTGTCTCACTCTGACTCTGTACTGTCTCACCGATCTATTATCTTACAGATTTTTAATCATTCTCGAATGAATATGTATGATAAACAATTGTGTATACAACTAAATCATTTTCTAGAAAAATATAATTTATACATACGTTAAAATACGTAACTTTGAACAAAATTCAAAAACAAAATTGAAAAAAACGAAGCTCACATTTTTCACGTTTTGATAACAAAAAATAACAATATTATGATAAGATGATAGTATCACTTTTTACGTGACCTAATGGTTAATAATTATATTTAATATTATGTTTATGTGAGTCTTCTGGATTCTCCAGCTGGTGGTTAAAATATATTAAACTACTCGACTTATATTTAATGGATCACTGTGCCTCGTGTCTCACTGTGGTCACCTTTCCCCTACTAACACCGAATAAATTATTCTATGATAGTAATACTTAGTTGCAATCTGTAAGCGCGTTTTCGCGGAGGTACCGAGAGCAAACAGTTTGGTCAACTTTGCCGATTGTTTACTGATATGGCATATCAAAGTTATTCATCGCCAAAACGCTATTTTGTAGATTTTAATATTTTAAGTGATAAGTTCACTGGTAAGTGGTAAATGGTAACTGGTATTACCATAATAAAATAAAATTATGGTCAAAATATAAATAAAATAATTATTAATACCTACATTTTTTATACTCGTAAAGTCGTAACTTTTAAATTTTTATAATATTAAATATTTAACTACAATTTGAAATGTTATATTTCTTGTAATGTATTTCTTAATGTTGTCAGTGTATTAAATTCATTGTTTATATTTATTAAACATTGAAGAAAATAATTAATCTTTCGTGTTTAGTTTTTCTTTTGAAAATATGGATGAAGTAACCATTTCATGTTTAGGATTGCTTCTTCAAGAGTTTTTTAACCCAGCAGAAGTTATTGACAGTATTGATTTTTGTCTGACGAATGAGGATTATGATTTGTTATTAATTAATCTAATTAGAGAAACTCATTTTCGTTCAATTTGGAGTGAAGATTGGATCAACAAATTTACTGCTAGAGATTTTCACAAATTATTTAGAATGACACAAGATACATATGGAAATCTATTAACAGCATTAAGTGTCAATTCTGAATTAATAAAACCATACACAGGAGGAAATAAGCCTGTCTCATTTCATAAAAACGTTCTTATAAGTCTCTGGTATTATGGTAGAGAAATGTCTATGCATGCAATTGGTAACCAGTTCGATACTGCAACTTCAACTGTTTATAATATTGTTCAAGAAGTCACTGATTGTCTTTGTAATAGTATGGCTAAAAAATTTATCACTTGGCCCAACATTAAAGAATGTACAATAATTGAAGAAGGATTTAGAGTGAGAGCTAATTTTCCTAGTAAGTTAAATAAAAATTTTGATTATATTACATATTGTCAACTTACTGCCAAAACTCATTAAACTCACTAATATACAGCAAAGCGTTTTCACATTTATTGTTTGTAACTTTTGTAGATGTCATTGGTGCGATTGATGGTTGTCATGTTTCTGTAAAAGTTCCATCTTCAGAACAAGACAGCTACACAAACAGAAAGATGACCAAAAGTATTATTGTTCAAGCAATTTGTACATCCAATAAGATATTTACAAATATTTGTGTTGGGTATCCAGGTCGTCTTCATGATGCTCGGGTGTTTAAAAATTCTGAAATATTCAGTATTATGCAAAATGAAGGGCCAAGCTCTTTATTCTATGACAAATATTATTTATTGGGTGACTCAGCTTATCCAAACTTATCATGGCCTATAACTCCATATAAAAACTATGGAAATCCATCAGCAAGAAAAAGGAAATGGAACTATTTTCATTCTCAAACAAGGGTCGACATTG